GTTGTCGGTAAGCTCATCTATCTTACGATTACACTGACCTGATTTGAGTTTTGCTGTGCATCAGGTTAGTCAATGGATGCACGCCCCAACTACAACACATTGGCAAATGATAGATCGCATACTCAAGTACTTGAAGGGCACCCCAAACAAAGGCTTATGGATGAGAAACAATCAGCATACGAAGGTCATTGGATACTGCGATGCAGATTGGGCAGGAGATAGGACGGACCGAAAATCAACCACCGGATATTGCACATTCGTTGGAGGGAACCTGGTCACTTGGAAGAGCAAAAAGCAGACCGTTGTGGCGAGATCAAGCGCAGAAGCAGAATATAGAGCTATGGCAAACACAACAAGTGAACTCGTATGGCTCAAACAACTCTTGGAGGATCTCGGGTTTGCTTCAACCAAACCTATACCACTTCACTGTGACAATCAGGCAGCTTTACACATTGCAGCCAACTCCGTATTTCATGAGAGGACAAAGCATATCGAAGTAGATTGCCATTTCATTCGAGAGAAGATCGCAAATGGTATCATTTCTACAATGTATACAAGAAGTCAAGATCAGCTTGCGGATATACTCACAAAGGCGACTAGTTCCGTTGCTCTCAACAAAACTCTCAACAAGATTGGTCTTACCGAATATCGCCGACCAATCTTGAGGGGGAATGTTGAAGAACAAGGAGCAATCAGCAAACACTCGGATTCTAGCAGAAGGACTCAAGCAACTGAAGACTCAGATTCAAAAGGAAGCTTTGGAGAAAACGAAGACTTGGTTACAAACAGAAGGTTCGAAGACTTGCAAGCAAGGAAAGACTTGGATTCTATTGGAGGCTTTGGAGAGATACAATCTGGCCGTTTGGGAGCATAATTCCAGCAGTGATTTCGAACTCTACAACATGGAAAGGCAATCAGATTACAAGAGGCATATTTCCTCTTTTTTATTATATTCACACACTACTTGCCTTGTACATTACCATTAGCATATTTGGTTTCCTTTACTATATCTGTACAGATTATGCATATAAGAATGTATGTATTCATGAGAATAATAAGAATTGAGTAACCTAACCTTCTGGTTACACTTTCTTCCAATTTCGTGTTCTTCTCTTCTCTTAATCATAAACTCGATTCTCAGCAAGTTTAGCTTGTTTGATCAACCTTAGCTCAGATTTCTTTATGGTATAAGAGCTCTAAGGTCCAAAATCAAGCATTTCTCATTCTTTTTCCGCATCAAACTCTGAAAAATCTCGTTTTCTGCCATGGATACTGCATTGAAACCAATTCCTATCACCCTTAATGGTGAAAACTACTTCTATTGGTCGAAAGCAGCCAAAGCTACACTCAGTAGCAAAGGTTTGTGGAATCATACCATCGATGACGGCTTCAGTTCCTCTCACCAAGTTGAGACACAAGAAGGCATTCCCGTGCAAGGTCTGCAAACACAACAAGCTGCTCAAAAAGAAAAGGCAAAATGGCACCAAGAAGACCAGTTGGCATTGGTCCTTTTGCAAGGTTCTCTTGATCAGAATGTGCTTCAATCCTTCATTGCCCTAGATTCAACCAAGGCTTTGTGGGACGCACTCAAGGAGGTTTACGGTAATCTCTCAAATATTAGCCGTATTTATGAAATAAAAAAGAAGTTGTCTTTGTTGCAACAGCAAGGCCGGCCTTTCAACAAAGTTCAAGGAGAATATACATCTCTATGGAACGAATTGGAAGAGATAAGGCCTGTCACAATGGATCCCAAAATCGTTGTCGAGCGTGCTGAAGAGGATAAGGTCTTTGGATTGCTTCTTGCTTTGGATGCATCATTCAATGACTTGGTGTATCATCTCCTGCGTCAATCCAAACTACCACCATTCTCTGAGGTATGTATGATGATTAAACGCGAAGAAGGCGGTAGGAATCTGTTTTCAGGTTCTCTTGAGATGGCGCACTTCACCAAGAAACCGTTTTCTCCACTGTCTACACCGAGAGAGAAACGGTCTTTCCTATGCGATCATTGCAAGAAGCCTGGTCACACAAAGGAGCGTTGTTGGATTCTCAACCCGCACCTCAAGCCATCTCGCTACAAGGATCATCCTCCGACCAAAGGGGTTGCAATGTCTGCAGGCAATACCATCTCCTCTGCAGGCAATACTATCTCCTTCACTCAAGATGAATTCAAGCAATTTGTTCTTGCCATGAAGGAGAAGGATACTGGTAACTTTTCTTCTATCTTAACTCCTCACATAGTCATCGATTCAGGAGCAACAACACATATGTTCAAGGATAAAAATCTGTTCTATAGTATTGAAAAATCATATGGTGTTGTTACTGTGGCTAATGGTAAGTTTGTTCCTATTGAGGGACATGGCATTGTTCGCATGTTTGGCAAGGAATTTTCGGCATTATATGTTCCTGAATTTAGTACTAATCTTTTATCTATCCCTAAGTTAGTTCAAGATTCAAACTGTCGTGTTGTGTTTGATACTAATGGCGTACTCTTTCAGGATATTAAGTCGGATCATACTTTTGGCAAAGGAATAAAGAAGGGCAACCTCTACTATGTTGAAGATTTTCTTTGTTTTTCTGATTCTACCTTTCATGTTTCCCATTCACTATTGCATGCTAGATTAGGGCATCCTCATAATAAGGTTTTAAAGTTACTTTTCCCACAAGTTAAAGACATTGTAGTTCCTGGACATTGTAAGGCTTGTGTGCTTGGTAAACATTGCCGTGCGGTTTTTTCCCATTCTTCAACAGTTTACAATAATGCTTTTGAGTTGGTTCATTCTGATGTATGGACTTC